AAGAGCTTAGTCATCCATAAGTTGTATTAGTCATCACTTAACATTTCCAAAGTGTGACACCTCAAGCTACACATTTTGGAGACAATCTCCTTTTTAAATATTTGCTCACGGCTTTTGGGAAAAAAAAATGAGAGTTTCCACATAAGTGCATTAAAAAAATGCTCACGGCACTATTAAGCAAAATGACTAACTTATTACTTAATGCACACGGCCTCAATTAGCTTAAAAAAGATAAATCTTAATTAAGTATAATCTATATGCTTAATTAATTAACTAACATGATACTTAATTACCAAAATTATTCCGAACGTAAATGGGACTTCGAAAATAATTTTGGGTAATCTCGACTGAAATAATTTAATTCCGAAAAATAATAATCGACCATATTATTATATCAGAATTAAATACATGATTTATTTGATTAAGCTTGGTACTTAAATGCCAAAATTAATCCGATCACGAACGTGACTTCGAAAATAATTTCGAAGAATCTTGACTGGAATAATTAGTTCCGAACATAAACATGACCTTTGGAAATTAATTCGAATATTCATGACTTGGACGATTAATCCGAATATCGACATTTCGGATAATTCGTCAACTTAACTAATTAATTCCGAACTCATTAATTAATTAATCGAATCGGAATTAAATCTGGAAACTTATTCGGTTACTGAAATAATTAACCAAATAATTTACCGACTAATAGTCGAACTTAGAACATAACTAGCTGATTAACCTGAACTTGAACATGAACATGGTTATTTATTAACAAAGGCTAGCTTAACATTAAAAGCTAGTATATTCCTTTATTAATAAAACTAGGGGTGTTACATATATTTTCTTAATATTCTTTATTTATTTAAATAATAATTCATTTCACGTCATGTTTTAATATCAGACCGTGCAACGCGCGGGTGGCGTACTGGTATATATATATATATATATATATATATAAAGAACATATTTACCAAAAATAGTAACAAAAAACTCCGCCAAAATTAATTACATTTGCATGTCATTATATGAATTTTATTTACCATAAAATCAGGCAGCATTAAATGCTCCTTTAAATGGTGTGTTTATTCAATTAAAGTTTTATTCATTCCATTTTATCTTACCTTCCATATCATATTCCTAATAAACTATAAATTTGCTTATATAATTAAAAATTTATTATATTAATAAATAATATTAATATAAATATTTATTAATAGATAAAAATAAAATTACTTATAAGAAGAGTTTTTAAACCCGACCCGAAAATCGACCCGGGCAGGTCTTCGGTTCATCGGGTCACCAGTTCAACCGCCTGGTCACGGGGTCAATTGCTGAACCGGATAATTAATTTTACATAATTTTTGAATTATATATATAGTATATTTTACATATAAATATAAATAAAAGTAACAAAAATAAATATTTTGTATATGAAATTAGTATATCAAAGTGTTAAAAGAATTGTATCTCACAAAAAAATATCTTCTATATCAATTTATTGCCATAGTTTTAATTTTTTATATAAAAAATATTAAAAAAAATTATGGGCCAGGTCAACTGGGTTGACCCGGCGGGTCAATGACCCGGGTCGACCGGGTCGAGGCCGGGTTGGCCGGGCTTTGATCGGGTTTGACCGTGTCCATTGTTACCCGGTCCAAATAGCCCATCCAGACCGGTTCCAGCTCTGGGTCGGCCGGGTCGTGGGTCGACCCGTCGAGCCGGTCCGAGTTGAAAAACAATGTCTATAAGTGTTATAAATAATAATGACATTATACGACAATAAATTTTTAAATAAAATAATATTTAAGTATTATAATGAACCAAAACATGTAATATTATGATTTTTTCTGCATTAAAAAATAAATATATATGTTAAAATATTATTTATATTAATATAAACAGGTCAACGAACTACTATATTACTAAAATAAAATTTTAAAAAAATATTTTAAAATACAAAATCCCCGTGAATCCCACGGGATTCTCATTATTAATATTTTTTAAAATGATCCCTAGATAACAAAAAAATTGATTTTAGCGGATATAATTGTATTAAGCACGGCCGTAGTATCCTCCTCTTATTTACAATGAATACAATCGGCGTCAGGGACAAAACTGTCAAACGGTAGATACACTACGCACTAGAAAAATAACATTAATATTCTAATCTCAGTACAAAATCAAAACATCGCAAAATTTCCAACCCCAAATTAAACCAGTTGGCTAGGGTTTCTCGATACTGCAAGACAAAGCGAAAAGCGCTGTTCGCTTGAAGGAACTCATCCGCTGTGTCGTGCGCAAGAAAGAAGATTGTTTTGCTGGTACGTGTGCTACATTCATGTTTATGTGCCTAATTTCGATTGAGCTTTGAGTATGGTGCGTGTCGATTTTAGGGACGTTGAGCATTTGGTTTTGCTTAAGCTCGCATCTGTTTAACAGTTGGAATCACGTGGTTTTTGTGGAGTTCGTGATTGAGTCATGCTAAGAGTTCCCTTAGCGTAAATTTGGAGTCACGTAGTTGTTGTGTTGTCGATTTGAAATCCAGAAATGTGAAATGCATCTGTATGAGCCGACCTTGTGAATTTACTGTAATTGTTGTGTGGTGTTACCATTTTGAACACTTGGTTGCTTAAGCTCACATTTGTGAACAGTTGGAATCACGTGCTTTTGTGAATGAACCCAAGTTAAGAGTTTCTTGAGCGCAAAACTTATATGTGTTTTTATAATTATTGTCGTCGACGCTATTCTTTGGTTTGTTGTTATGTTATCATATTGAATTCCAGAAATGTGAACTGCTGCTAGATGAACTTACTTTGAGAATTTACTGTATTTGTTGTCTGGTGTGGGTGGCTTGATGTCAGGAGCTGAGTTGGAAAGACTGTGACTTATTTGAAGTCCCTGATATAGGGTAATGTAGGGGCAGCTGCACAGCTGAACCATCAGACTAAAATTTGACCTAGATATGAGTCGTAGGGAAAGTAAGATGTGCTGAACAAGTCGATACAGAATTTGGGCCCTACTTTTGTTTGCTACTAGAACATCAAAGCTTTCTAATTTGTAATTTATGTACTGGGCTGCTTCACGTTTATCTGCTGCATTTGTACTTTTCAGATGCCACCTTAAGGCTTAATGTGATGTCTGATCACGTTCCACTGGACCAAGAAAATTTGTTACATTCCAAGATGATCTTTTAGTTTTCATATTACTCTTTCCTCTGTTAATCTGATCCTCCCTCTTGTAATATTCCACTCAAACATCGAGTGTTCAAATGCTTCATTATTTTGCTTTTATGATTAAAGTTCTTTTGCTTTGGTTTGTTGTATTCTACTTCCATCCACCCCATTTGTTCAAATTTGAAGATTGTGCTGATGTTTTAACCAAATATAGAATTCTAAATCAGTGATCATTCTGCCTTCTGAAACCTTCCATCTTACTGAATTGTCAAATTTGCTAGATGTCTCATATGATATTGCCTTCTTACGGGTTGATTGGGATGGTAGAATTTCAGTGATATTGAAGAAATAGATAGAAGCATTGTAGAACGAAAGGTTGAGTAAAATAAACAACAAGCTACATCTAAGATGTCTCCTTTCTTGGGGCAAATTTACGTGTAGCTTTCATAAGAATAGAGTTTCTGTGGCACACTGAAAATTGTATGCAGAAGGCTTTTGTTTTCTCACTAAGATTGGTGTATTTTCTTCTAATCAGTGTCTTGCTTCATAACTGATGTCACAACTTCTAATTGTTCAAAGGAACGGGTCAATCGGCTGTCTTATGACTCAGTTTCATTGCTGTGAATTATTCTGAATGAGAAATGGTTTTGTTAGATGCATCTTAAGTTGCTCCTTGATCAGTTCTTTCACTGTTCCTGTCATTAAATAACTGCAGGAAGTTACAGACTGGACCGGTATTCAAGGAAGTGGAATTAATCTTTTAAGCAATATATCAGTCTAATTATGAAACCTGTACCTTTTGACTTATCGGAAAATTCTTAGCGCACCATTTTCTGTTGTTTCCTATCAAATAATTAGTTATCACCAAGATTATGATATCCTTGTTATTTGTTTCTCATTTTCATTATTTTTCCGCCCCTTCTATACTTGCTTGTTGGATGTATTGCTCCTCATGAATTATATAGACTGCATGTTTGACCTTTTCCTTTTCTCCGGCATCAATCATTGTCTATATATCAAGGTATTCACTGCTTCATTATTTTGCACCTGCTGAGCATCATGTTTCTACTCTGAAATTCAGCATTCTTGCCTTATTCTGTTGGATTACATTTTTTCATCCCTTGTTTTAGAATCGTGCACTTTGAAACTCCTTGGAGTCATACCTCATGGCACCTAAATTCAGTCCAAATTCTTACTTCAGAGCTCCTTATGGTCTTTGTTTCTTTGTTTTTTCTTGGTTACTGCCGGTCCACATTTTTCTTCGTTCCTTCTCAAATGCATCCAGCTTCTGCTCTTTACACATAGCTTGCATTAGAAGCTTTGTTATATTGGAGTAAAAGATGCCAATTACACGATCCAGTGGTGCAGCTACTAAGTCTGTTGAAGCTGAAGAACGTGTTGAGCTTGGTTCAAATGACATGGAGGAGACCTTAGAGGAAGAGGTTGAGTATGAAGAAGTAGAAGAAGAAGTTGAAGAGGAAGAAGAGGAAGAAGTTGAAGAGGTGGAGGAAGAGGAGGAAGAGGAAGATGATGTTCATAGACGAGATGCGCGAAAGGAGGTCGATAGCGATGATGACATTGGAAGTGCTGAAGCTGATGAGGAGTTGGAGAAGAAACATGCGGAGCTTCTTGGGCTTCCTCCACATGGTTCAGAGGTGTATCTTGGTGGGTTTTCACCTGCTACATCTGAAAACGACCTCAAGCGCTTTTGTGAGTCAATCGGCGAGGTTACAGAGGTAAACACTGGTTCGATTTTTATGGAGCATGTTTGTTTTTCCCCTTCGGTAATATGTAAATGTAATTTACGGGAACCTGCATGGTATTGACAGGTTAGAATAATGAAGGGAAAGGACTCGAAAGAAAATAAGGGGTATGCTTTTGTAACCTTCAGGACCAAGGAACTTGCTTCTAAGGCTATTAAGGAGCTTAATGGTTCTGAATTGAAGGTAATCAGATTGTTTGCTTTTGCACATGTGGATATAAAGTAACATGTATAATGATAAAAGGGGAGA